TACTTTAAACCAGGCGCTATTACTTTCTGGCGTAGGCGGGTTACGAGGTGGTTCGGTTCAGTTGTTGTTGCAGCGGCTGTTATTATTATTATTGTTGTTGCTTATGTGTATCGTTCTGTCTCCCTCTCTCTGAATAACATATATATCTATATAACTTGTTTTTTAGGCGTTGTTCGGCGATTGCTTTTGAGTTGCAGGTGCAGTTATTGCTGAAAGCAGTTGTTTTTATTGTTGTTGCTACTGTTACTATTCTTTGTTATTGCTGATAACCTTTGTGCCATCGAAGAACTCTAGCTGTATGAGAGTTATTTCTCTCTTCCTCTCGCGCTCTTTCGCTTGCGTTTACTTTGCTCAGGTAGCAAAGGTGCGTTTTTTTTTAAATGTCGTCAAATTGTTGCTTTGGAGAAAAATTACGTTAGCACTAGCCTCTATTCGTGCTTCTTCCGCGAAGCTGACTACGACAACAACTTCCGTTTTACTACAGAAATTTCTGCTGCTATCTGCGGTTGCCGTTGCTGTTGCTGTGCAACAATGTTTGCAGAGTACTCAATGTGTGTGTATGTGTTTGTTTGTATGCACTGTGGAATGTAAGAAAGCAATAGTTGTATTTTAAAATAGGTTTCAGTATAAAATCGTTTTTTTTTAGTATATGGTATGTTAGTGTTTGCTTTTCGGAATGTACTGCACATTCATTCGTTTCGTTTCTTTTCTTTTATTATAATGAACTCGAAATGTTCTCCTCGCTCACTCAGCGAAATTGCGCTCTACCCTCAACATTTTAATGATTCATTTTCAGAGTTGTCTAGCGGCTATGATGGAGACTGTTAAGCGCCTAGCAATTTGCACACTTGTAGCATGCAAGTCAATTTTCGTTTTTGTTCAATAAAAAAATACCTTTAATAGCCATAGCACAATACTGACAATTGCACGTAGAACGTGCTTCATAAATTATTTTATTGGAACACACACAAACTTAATTAATGGAGCAGGGGAGGCAACAGCAATCACCCGCATGTCAGGCATACGGTAACTCTACTCGGAGTTTTACCTCGTTAGCGCTGCGCACAAAGAAGCTCTGTGTTGTTGTCTAAGCAGATTTCACACGATTTCCGATTGATTATTCCGATATATGTATGCGCGTGCAAGATACTTTGCTACTGCTCGGGAAATATGCAATTTTTTTATTGATAACAGTATTTAATTATAAGGTAAACAGATAACTCTTTTTCGGCTTACGCGCTTCTGCTTGCTTGCTCGCTCGCTCGCACGCTTGAAAGTGATTCATTTTCAACGTTGCCATTCGTCGCGACACACTGGACGAGTGGCAGCACTGACCGATAAATTTAACTAGAAATGGCAACATTAAACGAATTTTTTGCCTAATACTTGATTTGATTACATTAAGATAAAAATTTTTTGCTTATTTTATCCAATTAAGGCTCTTAATAAGGCTCGCAAGATTGTGAAATAAAATGATAGTTATACCAGCTAGTGGGGTTTTATAAACTTAGCTTTTATTTATTTACAACAAATAATAAGATTAACTAAAATTTCGTATTCGTAGATAGCAAGCACTCAGCGAATTTTAGTGACCATTCCGGCAGCTATTGTGACGCCTGCAACGCGCAACATAACGCGCCCAAGTTCCTTATAATCGGAATATCTTTCAATACAAATAGCACGCGAGGTCTCCAATTCGACCAGAGCACACGAATTCTGTCCGAGACAACGAGGCTTCTTCTTCATCACCTCGCCGGTACTTTTGTGAATGGATGCAGTCAGCTTGCAGACAACAGCTGGCTCGATCAGTGACTGGTGATGGAGCAGTACCGGATACCCTATTGTAATTGGCACTTTTACATTGAATACGATTATACGACATTGAAATCGGGTGGTGACAGGGATTGGCATTTGTGGATCATATATAATACAGCCCACAGTAATGTTGTTCATATCAACGCCGCCTAGTGTTACGGAGATCTGATCGCCGGCAAATGCACTGGTCTGAGTTAGGTCATCAATGCTCAAGGATTTGACCTGTGCCTGTTCTCGGCTAGCACCTACCAGCACCTTATCGTTGACACAGAGTGCACCCGTCTCAATACGACCCGAAATACAAAATCCAGATCCTGTACCCTTATAGATATCCGTTACGGACATCCTAAATGGCCGGTTAACCGCGCGTTCGGGTACCTTAAAGTGTTCAATAACATCCAGAAGATGCGGTCCGTCGTACCAGGCTTTTAGACCTGGCTCTTGAGCACTTTTTGTGAGATTTTCGCCCGTTAAACCGGAACAAGGCGTAAAACTGACATCAGATTCCTTGAATCCAGCCTGCTTTAGAAAAGATTTCAGTTTATGAACGATCTCTAGAAAACGCTCCTTGGACCAGCCCACTGTATCTAACTTATTGATTACCACGCCCAACTGATTAACACCCAGCGAGCGAACAAGTATAGCATGTTCCCGGGTCTGCCCACCCAATTCAAATCCAGATTCAAATTCACCACGTGTCGCGTCAACGACAAGAAGCGCCACATCCGCTTGCGTTGCTCCTGATATCATGTTGGGTATAAAATCTTTGTGCCCAGGCGCATCGAGCAGCGTCACAATTTTTGTTTTTGTCTCTATGCGTGACTGGCCAACATCCATAGTAATGCCACGGGCACGCTCTTCGCCTGTTTCATCTAGCACCCAGGCGTACATGAAGCTCTGCTTACCCAGTTTCTTTGACTCCTGCTCGTGCTTGTGCATTAATCGCTGTGAAACATTTCCCGTGTCATAAAGCAAATGGCCCATCAGAGTGCTTTTGCCTGCGTCAACGTGTCCAATAACAATCATGTGTATTTGACTCTTTTGTGAGGAGCGCTCCTGATCGTATAACTGCTGGGTATTACGCTGTGCCTGATCCTTGGAAACTTTGAATATGACATTAGTACAACGTCCTGCCTCGTCACCTACTTCGGTAGGCGTATTCCGACCAGACACATTTGGTGACGCTGGCGCTTTGGGTGAGGCGACGTCAAAACCACGTCTGGCCTCCTTCACTGTGGAGAGAGTGATCTTCGTGGGCGTAGGCTTAGGCGCTGTTATAGTCTTTGCAGCTGGCGTCGTATTTAGTTTCAACTTTGGCGGACGCTTGCCCTTGTCTTTATTTTTTGTCTCCTCGTTTAGTATTTCATCGAGTATTTTCTGTATGTCGTAGTCGAAACGCATAGAAGTCTCAACAATGCGGCGCTCAGAGACTGCATCCCCCACCACACTTCTCACTTCATCCACACAAGAACTGAGCTTCGCCTGCGCTGTATCATCCAGCTCCGGCATTTGAAAATTTTCCGAATCTCTGCGAGCCTTTTGATATTCCTCGTCCTCCTCATCGTAATCTTCGTCGTCCTCTGCTTCCTCCTGAATATTCTTATTCTTCTTTATAAACGCTGACATACTGTGTTGTCCACGAGTCCGGTCAAAAAGCCATTGCTGATCCGTGGGCGAAACGCAATCGTCGTCAACAGAATGGCCATAGACGTCATCGTAACCATCGTACTCGTCGTTGTAGTCCATTCCGCGCACAATTCTGTGTCGTGACATCTTGAAGTTTATTTTAAAAATTCAGTTAAATTTCACAATTATTGAAAGAGTAAAATAGAATTTCGTTGAATTGCAGAGACTGAAAGCACTGGCTAATGTAATGGAGCTACCATATTTTGTTTAGTAAACTATCTGGCAACACAAGTTTATATGCTATAGCAGGATATGTAGGAATAGTAAAGAAATTGTTACTTATACTTTCACTGTGAATGGCTTATATTTTTGAGGAAAGATTTATAAAATATGAATACTATTTCTATGTATATTTTTGACGGTTGGATTGGACTAGAGTAACAGCATCGGCTCAAAGTTGCGCTGCCAGCGATTACTTGACTGATATTTTTAGCGATACTTCTGTTATTCCCTGTTTTGCGCATCACTAGACTACCCATTCTTCTCCTCCCTAAACACTATCTTTTGTGTCTCGAAAATATTAAGAAAAACACTGAAAATCATTACGAAGTAACCAAAAATAATAAAGGTTAACAACACGCGTATCACTGTGCCGAAAAATGCTGGCGACGCAGCAGTAAGCGCTCGTTCTTCGAGTCTTCAGTTATTGTGAACAAATCGAAGGTCTATTTATATTTATTTACAATAACAACAAAGATTAAAGAAAACAACAGCAGCAAGAAGAAACAGTATGTACAACAACGGTGCTCGGGGCTTCTCCATACATGACGCGTTTGAGGAAGAAGAAGAGGAGGCGATACGTGTTTATGGCTCCACAGTGATATCTACGCCAATGCGCGGCGGCGTTAGTGGCAGTGCCAAACAAGGTCGCTCCACCGAAGATGTATCCATACGCATACAGGATCCGAAGTAAGTTCGAAACGAGTTCCTCTCACCGCTGCAACTGGTAATAATGGTACTGATTCTTGTTTTGAGTCTTTGAGTGGGTAGCAGTTGCTTGACAGTTGTTGACATCATTTGCCCATGGAGTCGTGCCAGACACCCTTTACAATAAGTAATCTTGCATCGTGTATATACATATTTAGACAATTTAAAATTTCAAAACTTTTTATTGGGCAGTACAGTAGAAGCTCTATTGACTGTATATTATATGTATACAAATCCTTCTATATAAGCACAACAATTTTCTATGTAGTTTTTCTCAGTTTATTTTTAACACTGTTTCAACCACCTCGCAAGCAGTTGCTTTTGAAAATTGTATTATTGCTGACTAAGAATCATTTTAAAGCTCGGCTTTATTTTACTAGGCAATCATAAAAATGATATACAATAATTTTAAGTTTTAAAGCAGCTGTTTGCTAAACCAACTACAAAACTTCTCGTAGCTTTCCATAAAACTTGCAGTTACATGTGTGTGTGTAGGTACGCTGAAATAAGCGCGTGCGTGCTTGATTCATATAAATAATATTTACAATTTGTTGCTGCTCTTCTGTAGCCACTATTGCATTGGTGGTCCATTATGCATGCATGTCGCGTCTCAAGGCACAACTCAAGTAGCTAAAGCAGTACATAATTATGGAGATTATGGCAGACTATCCAACCACACGACATCCAACACCAAGATTTGAGACTGGCCTTCGGTTGCGGTCGAAGCAACAGGCTGCACTTGTTCGACTTCATTGCTGTTGAGTACATCAATGTGAACATACATATATACATATGCACAATTTTATTATCAGTACAGTGCAACCTACAATTGAATGATGAACGGTTGTCCGGGAGAAATATGATTACGAATGATTTCGAGCAGTGTTGTCCTCTTAGTCACGAAATTTTATTTATCATTATCATCAGTATCATTTATTATGGGAAAGCCTTAAAAGCATGTACACCTTAAAGGCCCATTATATGTAAACAAAATTATTGCTCATAAGTGGGCAAAATATGACAAAATGCAGTAAATGACTAGGAACCAGATATGTCCAATCAAACGAGGTTCTGTTGTATACAACTACATATACAAATTGCAATATCTGACTTTTTGTAGCTTCATTTAGATGTAAAATAAATTTTAACTCGTTTTATAATACTTATTTTCTTCGGTTCTCAATTTTCAGGGGCTACAAGTATGCCGAAGACACAACGTCGCGTGACAGTGATTCCCTAATACAGGAATATGGCAATCTGCCCACAGAGGAAACGAATACATACTGCTGGCGGCATCCAAAGGTGCGCGAAAATTGGCGCACTGTCCTAGCTGCCTTTACGTTGCTCGTCGTGGGCACTGGGTTATTTGTAATGGGAACCTTTGCCATCGCTGATCCACACAATACATCACAGGGTGTTGTCTTTTTTGTTGCTGGACTCATTTGCTTTATACCAGGCGCATATCATGTTGTCTACATATGGCTGGCGGCTAAGGGATATCGAGGGTTTGATTTTTATCACTTGCCCCTGTTTACATAAAGTCAGATTCTTAACAGAATTAAATAAATAAAAATTTATGTTGCATTGGTTGATCCAATTTGAATCAGCAGAGAAGCCTCCCGGACAGCATTCTACACACATAT